GACAAACGCCCTTGCATCTTGCTGTCAATTTTTTGTGGTGAACGTCGTCGGTCAAACACTATGCTCGCCCATTTCCGGCGTGCCCCACGTGCCGGCGTGCATATCAGGTTCCCCCAAATGACGCATAACATTGAGGCTCGAATTCACAATCGAGTTGCGCAAGAAATTACTGTGATTCTGATCTGCAGCAAATAAAAATGGCCTACAACATTGGCGGTTTCGGTTATTACCCGGAAAACATAGTACGCTTGAAACTCAACTATTTCCCTCCTCCCAACTCTCTACATCCCTATTCCGTAGGTATAGACACAGCGTCTGAACCTTTATGACACCGACATCACTTGCCGTATGATGTACTGTAAATTCGTTGTTATCCCCTTCACTACTCCGTCTTTAATTGTTCATTCTGGCTTGTGACTTGAATGTCGTTTGTATCGCAAGTGGCATGCCTCTGTAAGTTAACAACGTCGGACTGCCAGTTTCGCGTTCGTTATATAAGAGAGACCTCTTTGAGTTGTTATGTGTGCTTCTGCTTGCTAATATAATTTTTTTTCCCAATCTTATTTGTTCGTTTGAGTAAATATGTGCCTCACTGTTAAACATTTGCAAGATCAGTTGGACTAGGCACCGGCTTGAGGTGTGCTTCACTTGGTATACGAGGAAACGTGTGTAAGTTTGTGGCTTTTACCGAGTATGGTGGAACGGTTTCCTGCTTCTTGGAGTTCAAATTGTAGACTGTTGTTCGATTTCACGAAAACTATTTTCCTTTGTCAATATAACTATTTTTGTCAAGTGAACTAAGGCTGAGGAATATCGACCGTCGGCTTACTAGTAATTTTTTTCGTATTTATACAGTGGCATAACAATGTATTTGCAAAGCCTTCCTTCCAAATATACTCTTGTTATTGCAATAAGCAGATGGGAATTGCCTATTTTTCCTAAGTGCAGTTTGTAAGGGGAAATTGGCACATGGGTTTGATCCAAGGCAAAAAATTATTCTACTAATGAAACCATGATTTCAATTCACAAACGTCACATGTTCTGTTATTGGCTCACGTTCACCGCTTCACCACTGCATTGTCATCTTGCCCCTTTCGTTATTTGCTTGTGATCTGTACACTTTCCTCAGTTATGACTATTGAGCTGTGCTAATGCAACACACAAGTTCACCTGCCTGCTTATAAGAGCTATTACCTTTTCTACTACTGCACAATCTTTGTACTTATTTTTTTATGAGTTATTTAGTACCACAAACATCACACACCAATGTAGTTGCCAAATGCACGACATTAGATTGTAGATTCACTTAAGTACAACCCGCACGATTATGTCAGTGAATCCATTTTAGTGTAATAGTCTTTTCTCACAAGTTCTGACAACTCTGTTGCTCAACATGTTTTGCAGATTTACACGACACAAAATCCGGACTCCATGCAGGGCGCATCATCGAACCCTAACCTTGAGAAGAAGTCGGAGGGTCGCAAGTGTGCTAGATGGGAACCTCGAGAGTAGAAGGACTTCATGTCCGCCGCCGAACACGTCACTGCAGAGGGACATCCTCGGGGAAAGTGCTTCTCGTTAACCAAGTGGGAGCGTTTACGCGGATTGTTCAACAAAAATGCCGGGAAGGACTGGACTATCACAGAGCTAAAAAACCATTGGGGTGCTATGCGCATAGACCACAAACCACTATTTGAGTTTCTCCAGTGCACGGGAATAGCTTGCAGTGTTAGCACTAGGGGCAAAATAGACGCGCCAAAATGGTGGTGGAAACAGAAAATTAAGGTATTGATGGACTCTAATTTGCGCTACTCTTGCTTTACTTAGAAACGGTCTTACATGCGAACAACTCAATAACGATGTACTAATGCTCCTGTGTTTCATTGCAGGAGAACCCTCGGTATGGAAAGTTCAAGGACAACGACAACACGAAAATATACCATAAATACAGCCGTTTGTTTGGAGGTAGTTGTGACTCCATGAAGTATGCACTGACACCCACGAAGCTGTCTCAACGTGGGTTTGACTTGGGTGCCAACACCGACTCAGATGATCCGAATGACACATTACCTATCAATGTTGAGACTACTGATTCGAGCGACGGCCCGACACCAGGACGAGTGAGCTCCTTGATGAATATCTCCCATCGCCGAAGCAATGAGAAACGTAAGAGAAAACATGCGAAGGGAAATTAGAAGAAGTTCTGAGGGAGGTTTCTGAGTCAGTGGATAACCTCATTTGCGCATCGAGGGAGATGGCCTCGGTGATTCCCACAAAAGAAGAGGGCCGAATGACTCTCCACGAGTGCGTAGATGATTTGCTTTCGACTGGACTTGTCGAAGCCGGGGATGAGTTGCACATCTTCGCGTTGTGGTTCCTAAGGAATTTTGGCAACCGTGTTGCGTACAGTACTGCTAAAACTTCGGAATTGAGGTACAAGTGGATCGCGTATTGCTTCGAACGCGATAAAATGCCAGGTTTTGAGAGCCGGTAATCGTGCTTCCATTGTATGTGTCATATGTATGGATTCGCTTCTACGCTTTGCTATTGTAGTTTTCGACCGTACGACTTGTAGTAATAATATTTTGTTGTTCTAGTTCCTGTATGCGAGTTTCTCGAACTACGCACTTCGCTACTGATGTTTTAGTGATTAATGTATTGAAAATGGTTTAATGTGACTGGTTTTCATGCTTTTCCAGAAATAATTCATTCCCGTGAACTCCATTACTACCGAAAGGCTATGAAAACCTCTCGAAAACCAAAAATGTTGGCCAAAAATACTTCATGGCCAAAGACTCCATTATAACCTATAGTCAAAAATTCTATACTAATAATTTTTAATTATGTCATTAGTTCTGCAAGAGCTAAAACTTTAAACATGAATAATTTGGTAGCAGAGACTCAATTATTACTTAAAGGCTGTCATTCTACTCCTTCAGTTTCAGAATATGTCCGTAGCTGTAGAGAAGCAAAAACTATCCTAGAAATAAGGCCCTCCCAAGGACTCAATTTTTACGTACAGTAAAAAACTCTTCACCTATAAGTTTGAACTATGTCACTAGTTATGGAAGAGACAAAACTTCACACATAAATAATTGGGTAGCATAGAATCCATCACTATCTAAAAGCTGTCATTCTACTCCAACAATTTCGAAATATTTCAACATCTATGAAAAAGCAAAAACTTTCCAAAAATAATTCGCTCACGCAGACTCCATTATTGCCAATTCTATGTCAGTGTATTCCATATAATTTTGATATACGTCTATAGTTCCGGAAGAACCAAAACTTTGAACAGAAATAATTTGGTACCATAGACTTCATTATTACGTAAAGGCTGCCATTCAACTCTTAACATTTTGAAATATGTCAATAGCTTTGGCGAAGCCAAGATTCTCGGCATGATACAACAAAGATTTTACCTTGTCAGTGCACTTTCTGCATGCCTCCTACTGGAATCAATAATTGTGGGCACTAATTATTCGGTATTGGTTGCATGCATTGCAAAGGTTCCGACTATAAAAAGGGAAGTGATAACTGGTGAAATATCGGGCAAAGCAAATATCATCCCAATCACAGATGAATTTTGATGCTCCCACATATTGTAAAATTTTTCACGTGCCATGGTCTCGCTTCGAGGAGATGACAGACACGTCTTGTTCTCACACGTCATCGGAGACCGATTGTGACCTCGTGTTGAACTCTTGTTCGGATGACGGCTCGGATGAAGACGTACTGCAGCAGCTGAAGGCGGATATGGTGTCATGGCTACAATATTGTCGTATCACTGAGCGGATGGTGCGCCAATAGCTCGTCCCAGATAAGGGCCACCGTTACTTATTTCCTACCACACGAAGCGGCCATATTTTTATGTTGCAGAATATGCATGTATATCCGCAAACATGCTTTTAGGAGTTCAAAATGTACCCGCCCATGTTCAGGCACTTTGTACATGTTCTGAGAGATTGCTATGGATTGGAAAGCAGTACAAACATCGATATATATGAGCAAGTGGGTATGTTTTTATGTATACTGGCGCAAGGGAAGGGATATCTCCAGGTGCAAATGCTGTTTGGACATTCGCTGCAGACCATCGGCCATTATTTCAGGCGCGTACTTTGCATCTTCGGTGCGTTGGCAGCAAACATGATACGGCCTCATGAACACTACAACCATGGCGCTGCACATCATCACCCCGATCCAGAGTGATATCCATTGTTTCAAGCATGTTTATGTTGCTGCAAGTTGTATCGATCGCCACAAAATTATTTGTCCTTGCATAACTAGTATTTGACATGATTGCAAATGGATGTCGCAGGATTGTATTGGTGCTATCGACGAGACCCATGTGTGGACGGTGTTGCCACGACGTAAACGAATTAACTTCATAGGCCGAAAAGGGGTGCCAACTCAGAATGTCTTGGCCGCTTGCGATTTTAACTTGTGCTTCACATTTGTGTTGCTCGGAAGCATGGGCCCCACGCATGACAGTCGTATACTAGCCCGCGCTGTGCATAGTCCGGACATACATTTTTCGGAATTGAGAGATGGAAAATATTACCTGTGGACTCTGGATTTGCACATCGACTGGGTTACATGGCACCATAAAAAGGGTCGGACATACGGCATCACTTTCAAGAATTTCACGATCAAGGTGGTGGCAGACGTCGATTTAGAAATGCACACGAAAAGTTCAACTTTCACCACTCATTACGTCGAAACATTATTGAGCGTGCGTTCGGAGTCTGGAAGCAAAGATGGAAAATTCTAGACAGGATGCCTAGTTATTCATATCGAGCCCAAATCGCTGTGGTTGTGGCAGCAATGGGTGTCCATAATTTTCTATGACGCAACGGACAACTTGAGGAAGGCTTCCGCAGGCTAAGGAAGTTGACGACGAAAAAGTCAAGGTTGAGTTACCAGATGAGGAAGACGAAGCCGCAGCGAAAGAGGATGCGGTTGCGAAAGAGAATTTGCCGTGGACCCAGTTACGAGATTACATAGTGCACACCATACGTCGACTAGGTGAATGCGAAATTGTTGTTGTAATCCGATATAAAAGCGCAAATTACCAATTAAATAAATGTTGTGATGTGTGAATTTTAGTTGATGCCATGCTTGCAAAAATCTTATTTTCACAAAACGAACGCCCGGAAGTTAATAGCATGCCGACGTCGTTTGAATTTGGATTTTTTGTATTGTGTCACGTATGAAATCGTTGGCAACCAGGTAGTGGAATTACATGGGCATTAAAGTGATTTGCTGAGATAGTGGTTGTGTTGAAAAATAGGGAATTTAACATTTTCAAAGATGTGTTAGGATCTATGCATGCACTATATTTGTGGGTCACTCTCGCCATCAATTGTTGACCGAAGAAAATGGGAATTCATGGGAATTAATGGGGCTCAAACACAAGCTTTCGTTGAATCTTTTAATAACTTTCTAGGATTTAAAAAGTTTATAAATATTCAAAATAAATTTTTTGAGACTATCTAAAAGTATTGTTGCATTTAATTGTGAGTTTTATAAATTTTTAAAAAGTCTCAATATATTCAATTAAATTTTTTTAGAAATCTCTATAAGCCTTGGTTTATTCAAATTTTAATGACATTTAGAGACTTTTATAAAAGTTTCGAATGTACTAATTTTTAGGCAAAAAGTACTCAAATAAAATTTTTAAGTTCCCAAAAGTCTTTTGAATTCTACAAGAATTTATAAAAAAATTTAAAATGAAAGTTTATGGAAGTCTATGAAAAATGTCCACTAATTCCATATAAATCTACAAAAAATTCATGAAATTCACAAAAATCATTACTTAAAAAATGTCCATCAAAGTTTTCGAAAGTTCAAATTGAATACACCCTTTACGCTCCTCAACTGCACTTTAAATTCAATTCTTCATTAATCTAGAACACGTGGAATTTTAGACTTAACTATGAGTTACACTTGAATATGGAATTTTATTTAGATTTTTCATTAGATGTGTTAAAAAATAAATACTTACTGTCCTACATGGTACCATCGTCTAGTGAAGAGCCGCCGCCTTCCCTAAGTGACTTTAACTCATTGGGTGAGACTGGAACATCCAATAGGATGACGGCTCCTCATCGGACGACCATACCATTCAAGTATCTCTTGTGTGAAAATGATCGTACCATGCGGCATGATTCACATTTGAGAAGTGCTACAATTACAGCACTTTTGACAACTTTTGTTCACAATCATCTCATATGCAATGGGTGGGGCTCACGATTAAAATAATCGCAAATTCCACCTTTGTAAGAGGACTGTGAACAATAGTGTAAAAAAAGTGATGTATACGTCATGTTTCCCTTCACATTTAGGTGATCTTATATGACAAGGAAAAAAATTGGAAATAGCAACGAGAGTAGGCTCGGACTATTAAGATATCCAAACTCATACAAAAGCACCTATGAGAATTTTCTGCGACGGGCAATTGTTGCATAAGTCAGAGGAAGGTTGCATACCAAAAAATAATCCATGCAATTTTAGAGGAATCAATCACCGAATCAAGTATATCAATTCAAATATTGGACTATGTTCTTGCCTTCTTGGTTTATATATAGTAATAGTCAATGATAAAAATCAAATGTGTTCAGTTATCGATGGAATATTTAACAAGGATTTGCTAAGTCCAGCTGATAAATTTCAGAGAGAAAACATATTAGATTGCATATATTACACGGCTAATATTTGTTTGATTCTCCTCCAATAGAAAACTGTGAATTCATTGCAATTTGCATGGGAAAGGGTGAGAATTTTCAGGGCGATAAAGATGATGTGATAGGGGATTGAAAAGTAGGAGGAATATTTAATTTGTTAGGGTAGGAATTCAATACCAAAATTTAAATATATAGGATTTGCTAGGAAAGTAACCCACCTGCAAACACTGCGCCGCTGCAAATACTGCCGTTGGATCAGAGTATAGTGTATGATTCAGTATCTTTTCATAACACCGTCGTACGATTCTTCACGCGCCACCGCCTCGGTGGCCGCAGGATCTTCTTTTTTTGCCTTGCGTAAAATGCTCTGATACTTCGGATATTGCGTCTCGTCTCTTTTAAGTGGAAATGATACTTCGATAATTATAGAGACATCAAAACATCAAAATTCACCAAAAAATTTGTGCAAAGTGAATTTTATCACTTGTTTTCATCTTACCGACAAATTGATTAAGGGCGTGGGAATTTCATGAAAAATGGAATTTAAATTCCATTTCCTACTTTTGTCTGTATTTAATAGCATATTTTTTTCCATGACATTTTCTTTCTTGGTTTGTGGAATTTTCTTGTTTTTCTAGGGTGATCTGTCGTTTTTTCCTTTTCCTTTTTTTTTTTTTTTTGACAATGAAAACAAATTCTATTCTTAATTGTAAAAAAATATTTTCTTTTAATTAACAATTTTCATGTAAAACAAAGTCAAACGAATACCAAAAAATAAATTATTTTCTTGGATTTTTTTTAGCAATGGAAATAAATTTCATCCCCAATACCAATAAATTCTATTCCTTTAATTGACAATTTTCATGTAAAATAAAGCCAAAGAAACACCAAAAAATAATTTTATTTCAATATTTTTCACGTAAAAAATTATACCAATCAAATACAATAATTAATGATTCCCACTAAAATAATTTCTAAGCCATTCAATTCCTTAAAATTCGTTTTCTTTTCACC